TTCTTCTCCATAACTCTGAGTTCTGGAAAAACCAGCCCTTCCATGGACCTAGTTATCTTGCATAGTGCACACATTAGAAGATTGCGTGGTAAGAGTAAAAAGCTAGGTTTCATTTTGGGTCAGGCTGCTCTATTTCCTGTTTGGAGGTTAGGTCTTCTTCCGAAATCAGAATTGATTTTCTAAAACCTATCACACTGAGTTGAGCCCAGAGACACATTTTTCCATCTGTAGTCTTTGCTTTTTAATGGTAGAAAACATTATAAGTTTCTCACTTCACTATCTCCTTATTTTCAACTGTTCTTGGGAGGAATCAAGTCAAAAGAGACTGAGATTGGAGTCTCTCTATGAAAGTCTCCATAGAACAGATGATCTGAGTCAATACCACAGCAGTCAGCATTTGTTGTCTCTACAAGGAGACTGCTGCAGTTAATTACACACAGGGTAAGTGGCTTAACAAATAAATTGATCAGTTTTGAAAACTAGGTGTGGAAGGTAAAAAGAAAAGGTAAAAGATAAAAAAGGAATTAATCCTTTTTATTACTCTGGCCAAGTCTGATAACTCTTGACCTAGAGTGAAGCACTCCTCCCAACTACCCTACTAAGAAATCAGGACCTGGTGTGATAACAGCACTCTGATTGATGAGCAAGATCCTAAGTCGACTAAAGAACAACTGATAACTGACAGCTTAGGTCATTTTTTATGTACTTATTTTTTCCCTCTTATTCCTTTTGAAGTGAAAATGATGAGTTTTTCTTTTGATATATTTTACATCAGTGAAAGAAGATAGCAATGTAGGTAAAAGGAAGAGCATGACCCCTGGATTCAGATCTGGATTCCAGTAATTCAGATCTCAACATCAACACCTAGTAGTTGTGTAAACTTACTTCTCTGCCCTCAGTATTCTTGTAATAACTACTTTGCAGAGTCGCTATGAACATTAGTGTAAACAATAGGCATTCAAACATAGCTATTATTATCATCAATTATTCTGACCTATAGAAATATGCAAGTTCCTTGCAAGTAAACATTTTTGGAAGGGGATCAGGGATGGGATATTATGCTTTTATTTTTTTCGGTCTGTCTTCATTCATTCAGTGTGTGTGTGTGTATATGTGTGCACGCACGCGCATGCATGTGGAAATTTCACATGTATTAGGCACCATTTCGAATACTTGGTTAATATTAACAAATCAGACAAAAACTTCTGCCCCCCCATGAAACTTACATTGTTATAACTGTTACAACTAGATGCTGACATGCTATGGCAACATTAAGCACGCCAAAAACGAACAGGAAGTTGGGAGTGGGTTGCAATTATAAATAGGGACATGAGGATAGGCCTTCTTGTGAATATAACACTGGTTTTGTGTTTTGGAGGTTTTCATGAGCGAGCTACCTTTTAGAATGGGAGAGTGGGAAACAGGGAGATGAGAGAAGGCAAGAGAGTAGAAATCTGCTGGTTTATGGGAGAATGTGAATATTTCCTCTAGTATAACATGTGTCAAAACATAAGCTAATGTAGAAGGGTGAAGTTTTCCAGATGGCTTAGTTTTATTTTATTCCATTTGAGCAAAAATCTTTCTAAAATGTTTTGTACACCCCTCACTTTAACAAATGATGGCTACTGAATACAGCCCCAGCAGTCTATGACCGCTGGAGGAGGTCATCACCATGACTGTCACATCTGTTACTGGACTGTCATGAAGCAAGTCCCTGGGGGTCAGCAGAGATGCTTTCAGCTATTTGCCCCACACAGTGGCCTGAGTCTGCAGTGACTGTGAGTTCTACCCACATGTGGCTATTTAAATGCAAATATAAACTAATTAAAATTTAATGACATTAAAAAAATTCAGTTTCTGAGTCATTCTAGTCACATTTCAAGTGCTCAATAGCCACATGTGGCCAACGGCTACCCTGTTAGCACAGATACAGACATTTCTGTCATTGTCGAAAATTCTGTCAGTGTCAGTTATTTTATATGTTTCTGTCTCCAACATTGTTTTTTGTGGTGCTGCTTTCAGTTTTTTAGGTCTGGCTCCTTCTTTTGATTTGTTTTTTTACCTCATAGTTGATAGGTTTAAATGCCAGATGTAGAATTTTGTGTCAAGTAAGGGTAATCAGGCTCTAAGAGAGATCAGAGGAGCTTTCCAATGTTCAATTACCTGAGTGTTTGTACTTGGAATTTATAGTTATATTCCGACTGCCCCAAGGCCTCTTTTGCTTGGTTATTGTTTTGGAGCTGTATTCTGGGTGGTAAGAGAATCAGACTGCTGGGTTCCTATGGGAGAAGGGCTATCAAACTTTAAAGGTAAAATTGAACGTTCATGGAAATGCTTTAGGCCCAGTCAATCATTCTTACTCATTTGGAACAGTGTCATTCAGGGAGTGCTCCATGACCAACGGCCTATTACAAGTAAGCCAAGCACTGTGTTATTCTCCAGAGACACAAACAAAAGTGAGCCTTGCCCTACACTGAAGAGTTCACAGTGTAAGTGGTAGAGAGAACCATAAATAGTCAGAGCTTCACTTCTCCAGTGCTCAGGTATGCCCAGGATGCCCTGAATGTCTGGAGTAGGGTGGTACGTGACCCACTCAGCCTTTTCAGGGGTTACGGGTAGCCAAGGAACGCTTCTAGAGAAGCAATTCTTGAATGGAATCCTGACAGCGAAATAGACGTTGGCCACATGATAAAGCTGGAAGAAGGTAGTCAACAAAACATGATGTACCACAGCATGAACAATGACAGTGAGGAGTGAAACAGCAAGGTGTGAGAGTGGACTGTCAAACTTAGTACTGACGAAGTTTAAAATACAAGGAAGCCAGTGTCTGTGGAGGTAGACAGGCTTTGATTAGATGTTAAAATGATGAATTTTCAGCCAGTGTGGGAGAGGGACAGGATGATGGTGCTGTATGCAGGTCTAACTTTTCAGTAGTTCGAGTAGTTTACTCTGCCAGCTCTGTGGAGGTTTAATTTGAGGAAGCTAGGCTGGAGGCTGGGACACCTTGATGGGAAGGCTGGGGAGAGGGACTTGTAGCAGTTCAAGAGAAGTAATGAGGGCCTACTGTAAGAGAGTGTAATGAGGTGGAACAGAGGACATGGTTTCAATCAATATTGATTTTTAGGGAACAAAATTATCAATATTTGAGGATTGATTAGGTGTGGGAGATGAAGAAGACATAGAAATCAAAGATAACCATGAACTTCCAGGAAAACAGATTAATTTGAACTCATCTTCCAAGTTCAGGGTGATAGGTTTTAACCTGTAGCTGGTACTGGCAATTTACATTAGCAACTGTGATATCTAGGCTAGGATTTGGCTCTTTAGGACCCCATTCTCTTGTTTGTTAAAAGAATTTGAATTGAAGCACAGACCATAGTGAAGTATCACACTTATATGACTTTAATTTTGCAGTGGCCTATGAAAATTTATAGGAATTTTGCTTCATTTCTAATGGCTCCAATCCAGATGCCCAAATTACCCCATTGTTGGGACATCCCTTGAGTGGACCATTGAACCTGTTATCATTAAGAGCAGCTGAAAACCATCAGCAAAATTCCCATCCTATGCCAACAATAACGCCAGTTTCAAGGTAACTTCAGGTTTCCGAAAGTTATGAATTTCAAAATCTGTCTAGCTGAACTCTTATTTGTATTTTTATGCATTCTTATCATGTGAAAAAGCTAGTGGTTACCTTACTTTCTGTAATTATACATGGCTTCTTTTAGAATATAAATGAAGTTCTGAGTTCTGAGTGTTGGCAGAGACCTGCTTATAGATCTGTAGCCGATCACTTTATAGGGAAAGTACAAATTCAGTTTGGTTAGTGGTACTGAAGAAGAGCTAGTCAAAATGACCCATTATGATGAGCCCTATATTGAAAGTAAGAATTCTCTCATACTTGCAGTGCATTTCAAAAGAATTTTTCCAAGTAACAGCATTTATTATGCTTTCAGAAAAACCTAGTTCTCTAGTTTGCAATATTAAGGAAGTATGCCAAATATATGTTGATACTTTGGTTTTTACTGACATATTTCATGGCTGCATGGCTAAAGCCACAAAAGTAGGCGCCTACCACTTTCTTTTAGATATATTTAGCCACTGCATCTGGCCTTTGTTGCTAAATATTTTTTTCCTTGCCACTCTAACTACCCCATCAAATTGGATCTTTAGTGGTCTGGCAGATTTTGAATGACTTCTTGGAAGATGTGAAACACTGTTCCCTAATCAGGAAGATTTGGGCAAGTCTTGTGGCATAAGAAAATAAGGCAAATTTCTTCTAATGAAGACAACAGGATTAGAGAACAATTACACAATGTCTTCAAAATTTTTATTTGAAGAATAATGATGTGTTTGGTGATGAACAAGTACTGTAAATTGAGAAGCATGGGAAGTTTCCACATCTTTTAAGAATGTTTTCATACAAAGGAGGAAAGAAAACAAGCTGACTTTGTGTGGTTCTTGGGAGAGGTTACATTAACCATTTGTTAAAAGTTGGATTTATGAAGAATGTTGGCTTCTAAGAGTATTCTCCACATAATGCCATCCTTTGTATGATGTTGTAGGTTGTTTAACAGCATGTCAAAATAGTTTTATGAAAAGATAAATATGTGTTATATTAATTCCATGGGGAGCTTTCTGAAATGCACTTTTAACAATAAATAATTAACATCATTCCATGAAATTCATGACTTCTTAGGGTGGGAAAAAAGAAAAAAAATGCTATCTTTTCAAGCAATTTGTGATTTAATACCAGCTGGTCAAGTGAGTTGAAAAACCTTATGAGTCGTATGTTATATTATTTTGAATGCCTTTTTTTCCTCTCTTGGGAAACTGGCTAACCCCACAATCTTTCTCCCATGGCAAATGGCTCTACAACTTTGATCTTCTCAAACCAGTTTACCAGATGTAGCGGAAAGAGCATATGTGACCTTTTGTGTGCCAATTCAACCTAGCTAATGGGAAACCATTAGTTAATCTTGTATGACTTTTATTTCTAGGCATCACAGCCGAAGTTCTGGTGGTGACCTCTTTCGATGAACTGCAGAGAAGGGCCCCAGAAGCAAGAGGGAAGATCGTTGTGTATAACCAACCTTATGTCAGCTACTGGAGGACAGTGCAATACCGGGTTCAGGGAGCGGTGGAAGCTGCCCGGGTTGGGGCGTTGGCATCCCTCATTCGATCCGTGGCTTCCTTCTCCATCTACAGGTTGGTTATGACAGTCGCTTGAAATTCTTTCAAAGACCGGGGTTTTCCATGAAAGAGAAGCCTTTATGAAATAAAAACAAACAATTTTCCAAAACTCTTTCCACATTTGGTCATTTGTTTGTAATATCTTCTTTGGCCTCTTCAGGATTCCAAGCATCATTTGTGCATTCCTTTAGAAAGCTTTAAAGATTACCACATCCACAGTGATCCCATTACATGACTTATATAACTATTATATTATGTATTTTCATTGGAGGAAGAACTGAGTTCATGTCTGTATTTCATCAAAGCTTCCTAATGACTTCAGAGAGAGCCAGACTGTTTCCCATATTGCTAGAGAAGTGGAATAAAAAGAGAGTGGGTAACATGATGGGGGCCATGTATGGTGTACTGGAAAGAGTTGGGGAATTAGAGCACCTTGGTTATAAACCTGGCTCCTCTATAGTCCACTGTGAGACCTTGGGAATATTTCTTAAACTTCTCTGGGTCTCATAATATTCCTCTGCTAACTGGGGATGATGAAAAATAATAAAAAAATAAATAAATGCACAAAGTAATTTTAAGATTAAGTGAAGTAAACTTATAAAAAATACTTGATTATCTATAAAAGTTTGCATAAGTGTTTGGTGGTATGGTTTGAGGGTGACATAAGGCTTGTCTTTTTCTTTGTAGTCCCGACTGACTCCAGGTCCTAGGATTAAGTTCGGTATTACAGTGGATAAAAGGTCTAAAAATTAACTTGTAGATGTTCAGCCTAGTTTAATAATTGCTATGGTAGTGTAACACATTAAAGATAAAATATTTGAGAAACATAGATTTAAAAAAGCATGATCTCGAGACCAGCCTGGGCAACTTGGTGCGACCTTGTCTCTACAATAAATCAAAAAATAAGCCGGGCATGGTAGTGTACACCTATAGTTCCATCTGCTTGGAAGGCTGAGGTAGAAGGGTCACCTGAGCCCAGGTTGGGTGACAGAGTGAGACTCCGACTCAAAAAAAAAAAAGCATGATCTTGATATTGTAGCCTCATCTAAGTTTTTTTTTTTTAATGTAAAAGATAATTACAAATAGGTTTATCTGGTTCTCAGACTGGATTTTTAGTATCTATTGTAAAGGAAAGTTTATTTATTCTGCATAATTGCTGCTTTGAACTGGAAACACAGCTGTTTGACCTTAATTAGCATCCTATACCCTTGAAAAAAAAAATAGCTGAGGAGGAGACATCAGCAAATAGGAAATCCAGTCAGAGGGGAGTTGTACAAAAGTATAGAGAAAAGGAAACAGACATTTTTCTTTTACAGGAATAAGATGTCTTCCCAGGGGAGGAAGATGGGGCATGTTGAAACTACTTGTTAGAAGTTTTATGAGAGAAAGATTAGTTACACTGATGTCACAATGCTAAAAATAATGTTCTTTGTAGTGTCTTTAAAGGCTTCATGACTAGTGAAATAATGATTGGACCATATTCTTTTGGATGGTTAATCTTCCCAGGAGGGAAGTTCTAAAATGGCTAGCTTACTTCCCAGAGTACCTCAATTACCCCTTGGAATAACATATTCAGCAAGCCATGGCCATTCACCATGATTTCACTGGTCATGAGACTTAAATTATGGAACTAGTCTGTTGCTTTGTGAAACTAGGCGATTGCCAGAAATGCTTATTTAAGAACCATTACTTGTAAGACTAATAAATTCCCAGATGACTTAATGCACAGTGATCTGCCAGGGTTCATTGTCATTTTTTTTCCTAGCATAATGAAGACTTCTAGAAACCCAGGCTACAACCTGGGAGTACCAGGAGTTTTGCCCAGCCTGGGACTTCAAAATCTGTTTTTAGCCTTTCAGGTTTGGGGTCAGCAACTGGTAGTATGTATGAAAAGGACCTTTTCTTTTTTAAATATTTCTAGATCTAGACTGATTATAATTTTTCACTGATTTTATGGCCAACCGTATTTCACTGGACTCTTAACTTCATAACTGTATTCTTTTAACACATCAGAGCATTGGCCTTTACATAGTACTTTAGAATCTTTCACATGTCATCTTACTTGTTCTGACAACAACTTGGTGGGCCATGCAGAAGGGGCATTATTAACCAATTTTATTGATAGAGAAATAAAAGTTCAAAGACTTAGACATACTAACAAGTTTGTCTTGCATGCTGAAAAATAAAAACCACTTCTAGCTGATTGTTTTTTGAACCAAATTTCCTATATTTTCATCTCTACTTCCTCATCTCTCACTCACTCTGCAGACTATTTTATCCTGGTGTTTCCTATCAAAGTGGAACTTGTTAAAGTCACAAATCGCTGCCACATTTCAGGCCATCATCTTACTTCATCTCTCTGAAGCACTCGCCACTGTTGACTGCTTTTTCAATATCCCTTCTCTTGGGCTTCCGTGACTTCTTTCTCATAATCTCTCTCTTTCTCACTCGCTCTCACTCTCACTAGACTCTCTTGCTCTTTCTCTTTTCTCTCCTTATATCTCTGTCTTTTCACTCTGAATATTTTACCCTGGGAATCCCGTCATGTCTGTGGCTTCAATCACAGTCTATACCACAGCAATTTCCAAACCCACCTTTTCTCTCCACTCCTATGTTGTGAGCTCTAGGCCTATATGTTCAGCTGCCTACGGAGTGTTCTTTTGAATGTTCCATAGCTATCTCCATTTGAATTTTTTTCAAAATTGAACTTATCCTTTATCTCTTTCTCCTGGAATTTCTATCTTGGTGGAGATAATGCCATCTATTCTGCCTTCTAAATCAGGCAGGACTTTATTATTATTTTCTCCCTCTTTTCTTGTCCATCATTTCTAGTTGTCACTAAGTCACTAAGTTAGGTTCTGCTCTTTATCAGTCATTTCAACACATACATGGTGAGCAGCTCCATTTCCCAGCATCACTCCACATTCTGCTAGTCAGGAATCACTGACACCTTTCCCACGCACCACGCTTCCTCTAAGTTTTATGACTTTGCATAGGCCTTCTCCTCTGCCACACTTCATTCCCTTTCTCACTGTCACACGCTATCTTTCAAGACTCATCATAAGTGTTTCTTCTGAGGATCCCTCCTTGATATCCAGCTGCAGCCCAGGTGAACTACTTCTTTTTGATATTCTTTTTTCTTTTTTGAGTCAGAGTCTCACTCTGTCACCCAGACTGGAGTGCACTCACAGCCACCCTAGCATTGACCTGCTGGACCCCAGTGATCCTTCTGCCTCAGCCTTCCAAGTAGCTAGAACTACAGGCATGCGCTACCATGCCCAGCTAATTTTTAATTTATTGTAGAGACAAGGTCTCGCCAAGTTGCCCGGGCTGGTCGCAAACCAGCAGGCTCAGGCAATCCACTTGCCTTGACCTCCCAAAGTGCTGGGATTATAGGCTGAGCCACGGAGCCTGGCCTCTTTTTGGTATTCTAACATCATCTCATGTATACTCTTAGTCATAATATCTTGTAAGTAGTTTTGGTGGGACAGACTGTTGTAACATACAGCCTCCGATCTCAGTCACTTAACACAGTGAGAGTCTTTTTCTTGCTAACAGAATAGTTCCAAGGAGGGTGTTCAGCATGTGAACTTCTGCTCATTTCCATCTATGGCTCTATCACCCCTGAGATGTGAGTCCTCGGCAGGGTAATCTGCACCCAGCTGGTAAATAAGACAACAGAGAGAGAAAGTAGATAACCTAGAGGGAAGCTTTCTATAGTTATCTATATCCAGACCTGGATATGGCATACCTCACTTCTGCTCATGTTCTTCTGGTCAGGATACCATTATGTGAAGACTAGGAAATTTGGTCTATCTCTGTAAGCAGGGTGAAGGGAAAATGAGTTTTGCAAAAAACTGTCCAGTCTTCCCCAGTTGTCTGTCTCCACACTAGTTTCAGAAAGATATTGATTATGTATGTATATTGTTTTATAAACAATATACATATATTTTTATACATATATAAAACAGTATACATATATGTGTGTTTACCTCTGTGTCCTTATCACCTAGTATAATGTTTGATATGTAGTAGTCACTCAGGAAATGTCTGTTGAAGGAATGTCTGAGGCTATGTAGTAAACTGTGACAGGGCTCTCATGACAAACCAGGTGACCCAATTCCTAGTCCTCTTTGACCAACCCGTGTAACTTCCATATAGTAAGTTTAAAATGACTTGCACTTTGAGAGACATTTGCTCTGTATTTGGAGGAAAATATCCAGATGCCCAATATAGCAGATTGTATATATTTTTTCTGCCACAACATTCGTATCAATGATATTTTCAGTTTCTGATTAAAGAAATAGCCTTCTTCTCTCTGACAAGCATTTCACCTTTAGTTTTTATGGAAGCGGGTAATACTGGATTCTGTCGAGGAATATTGTAAAAGTCTGCAACCCAAGAGAACAGAATATATTATAATTTGTTGCTTCTTAGCTTCAAAATTAGAGAATTCCATGGAGGAAAGTTTGATTTGAGCAGTTTGATTGGACACTTTTCTGTGCCATCATCAATGTCATTAGCCATTTTGAAGGGCAACAATCACAGAGTTACATGACAGATGTCCTAAAAAAAAAGTTCATCACATGTTGCCAGAATCACCTCCAGGTTCATGATTGTTCTTCTCTATATTGCCTAGTAGCATAGCTTGTGCTAAAATTTACTTCAAAGAGAAAACTTGTCCTTTACTGTTGCTTTTATAATGCCACTTCATTCATGATGGAATATCAACTGTAAACCCCATTTGTGCTTTCTCAGTTTTTCTGAATGGAAAATACTTTTGCCTTTGTCATGGGAAAATATTCTGAGAATAAACGCAATACATATGTATTTTTACAGAACGTTTTAATACTTTATTATAAAGGAAAATATTTAAATTAGAAGAATAAATACCTTAAATGATCTCTTTTGTTAGTAATATCATTCAAATGGTGATTACTACGAAAAGTTAAATGTATTTGGAAATCAGATTTGCAAATTTGAAAATAAGATGCTACAAATATTTTCGAGAATAA